AGGAGGATGTTTTCGATCTGATGAATAGGGCTGTTTGACCATTACTTCACACACATCTAGTTGTCACCATCAATCACCTGCAACAGGACATCCCACACAGCTGATGGGTATTTTCAGGAGTATTTTTTAAAAGACTAATTTCCCTATCAGTCCCTGTGGGGTGACTTCACTGCAACAAGACATCCTCCCCTCAGGCAGGGTGGGGTCTCACAGCATCTTCTCTGTGATGAAGGTCCACATTTAGGGGTCCCCAAAGGGGCTTTGCAAGATTTCTGGTACCTTGTAGGCCTGGAGAAGCATGTAGATCACACCTGGAGCCCCATGGCACCAGTGGACGAGTAGGTCTCTGGTGTCACCGATGCATGGAGGGTAATTCCCAGATGGGAACTTGAGCTGGCAGACATAGTCCACACTGGGTTTGACTGTGTTGTGCAGCTTTCCTTGGCTCACTCCAAGGCAAGGCTAAGAGAGAGAAAGCATTAAATCAGGGAGAATTACCATCTGTCCCTCAGAGACCCAAGATCTGCCCAAAAGGCAGAAACAAAGCCAACTATGGCTACATTCCCTGAAGTATGGAAATAATGAAGTAATTTCTTTGGTCCAGGCTTTTACACTTCACAAATATCCACTGGGTCCCAGGCTGCTCTGCCCTTTGGCAGGATCTTACTTCCAGTCCTACTCTTGCATCCCAGAAACAAAGACAAGAGGGCTTGCTGCTGCTTTCCCTTAAGATGAGCAGGAGTAGCTTCAGGTACCCAGAGCTGGTGTAAAGAGATCAACTGTTTAAAATCAGCATTAAGGATGCATACCAGGGATGATTCCTAGCACCTAGAGCATCTCAGCTCTGAGCTGCTGGGCCAGCCCAGATGGAGGGCTGTGATGCTGCAGTTTCACAATGTTGCTGGGTAATTAATTCCTAGGAGGGTGACTTCACTCCTGACCTCAGACAGTAGCAAGGGAGTGGCTTTAGAGTCCTCTTCCACTGACACTGCCCCACATGACATCTGTGCCGTTCTAATTTCCCACAGCAGACTGCAATGAGCACTCTCATCTAAGAATCACACTGTTCTCAGGTTGGTAACTGGAAAATTAAAAATCAGTACCTGTGCTGTAAAACCATTAGAGATAAAAGATGTTCTCCTCTCCATATTTCACCTGTTTGCTTCCCCCAAGGCTTCCTGTGCATCATACTTGGCTGATCCAGGCTCCTTGCACTTCATATGGCAGAGAAGCATGAAGCCCACACAGTATTTTATGGGAGACTTACACTTAAAATTATTTAAAACATCAGCCTGGGATCGAGCTCAGGGAATTGGTGCAAATTTGGGCTGACAGCCTACCACTGTCCCCCCTGCTCCCAACTAGCTGTTCTGTGCTCCTGGGCAATAATCATCTGGCATCCTCCTCTTGCCAAATGCCCTTCTACTTCAAAACCACCAACCACCTCTTCTTCTCTGAGCAATGAAAGAAGGTTATATTCATAGGAGCTCTGCTTATCCTGTCACTGGACTTTGAGGGTCCTGAAGGAAAGCTTCTTGAAACCTCGTGGCTTTTTTTTCCCACCTGCTCTGAGAGTTGGGTCTAATAAAAGATATCACCTATTTCTATACCAAAAGAATTTCTGTTGCTCATGGGTGCCCTTAGTGCTTTAAAAAATGCAATGTTATTTATTTATTTCTGTTATTTTTCTAAGGGCTTAAGCACTGATCCACACAGGGGAATTATCACCCTCATTCCAGAGCCAGAGTAGCAAATATGCCCAGAGCTCCAGTGAGTTGTGCAAAATAGTCCGAAGAAAGCATCAAAGCAAAGGGATACTGCAGCTCCCAGCCTCTTGTCTTGCCCTGCCTGTTTCAGGCACTACAGAACTCAGCTCCTTTACCAAAGTGAAAAGTCCCACCGCTTTCACACTTAGAAACAGGCCCTGGTTTGTGTAGGAAGGCATTTCCTGCTTTTCTATATGAACACAATCTCTTTCACCATTGCTTTTCTTACAGAGATTCTCACTCTACTGATCTGAGATTGCTCCAAGTAACCACCTCAAAAAAAATCAGGAAGCTCAGAGATACCAACAAATGGGAATAGTTTACAAGCAATTAACATGAGGGGGGAAACTCAGACCTAGCTGACCTACAGGCCTCCATTATGTCAAACTGCTCTACACATTTCTCTACAGATCTCCTTTGAGGTGGGAGATTCAATCTCAGACTTGGAGAAAATCTTTACAAGTGGGAATGCATGATCAAAACATCAGTAAGTCCATCAGACAAGGGATCTTTCCTAGCTCGACATGACCAATAGCTAATTCCAACACTGCTTTGTGTTCAAAGAAACATGAAACAGCTGCTAAAGGCCCTTCCCCTCCCCTCATGCCTCTTACCTGCATGAGATAGTAGTAAATCCCAGCTAAACCATGGGCTGCCCCTACATAGTACTCCTGGTACCACTCATACATCAGTGGGCTCTTTGCTGTGAAGTTCCTCTTTTTAGCCAGGCTCTCTCCTGAGGCTATAACTGCTTCACAGACCTGTGGATGGGAACAGATGTGGGTAAGGGAAATGCTGCTGCCTAGGACACAGCACAGTGAGTATCCTGACACAGAAGTAGAGTTCTTTTTCTGCCCAAGCAGAGGGAAGAGTGTGGCTGAGGGAGTAAAATGTATGCCAGTTCAGTACTGCCAATGGATTTATTGGATAGCAGGGGGCACGTGCTGCTTTGCCCCTTTAGAAGAAGAGCAGGTATACCTTGATGTGGTTTCTCCCTTGTTGCCAGAGTTCTCTGCATCTAGCATTGACTTTTACCTGCCCAAATATGAGCTGCATGGGGAGAGATAGATAACAAATCAGCAGAAGGCACAATACCTGCTGAATGTGACTTTGAGGGATCTTTTCCCCTCCGAAGTGCTTGTTGACAAATATCAGTGCAGAGACGTAGCCCATGCGCCCGTACAGCAGCTCGTCTGGCACTCGGGGGTCTGCCTTGTGTAGGTGCAGCAAACTGCAATGAAAAATTCACATGGGGGAAATTACACTCAAAGCCATGTAATCAAGCACTGTGACTGGAGCTCAAAGCCATGGTTTGTTCCTTCATGCTGCCTGTGCCCTGGGAGATGTCAGGCCAGTGTCTGGCTCTCAGCCTTCTAGCTATGCAAGGTGTGGAATTGTTCCTTCCCCTCTGCTTTTTATTTGGCTTATTGCTTTAGTCTGCTCAGCTCTTTAGGATGTACTCATACTGTGTGCTTGGTTTTCAGAGTACCAGCTCTGGGAAAGCTACTTGAGGGGAAACCTGGGCTAAAGGAAATTTCAGAATACACAGAGTTGTAAGGGACCCTTGAGCACTTTAGTCCCAGTGGTCAGCATGAACCTGCTAACTGCTCAGGAAAGGCTCCCCACCATTTCCTCCTTGTGATGCTATTGGCAAGGCAGACCCTCTGCCGAAAATTACTCCTTTCAAACTAAGCTGGGACCTGTTTGATTTGGTTGCTCAAAGAATGCTACTAAGTCAAACTAGTGCTGATGGTTTGTGGAAAAATCTCCTCCCTTACGCTCAGAAGTCCTGCTAGAAAAGCCCCTTCCTCTCCATGTCTGTAAGTGGCCAGGGCTATGCTGTCAGTGGAGGAAAGTGACTCCACGAGCTAAAAATCTAAGCAAAAGGTGGAGTTATAAATGCTGTTTAACATCAAGTTGCCACGGCACAGTAAGAAATGTCTAGGCAGAGCTGAGCAGCAGTCAGGACAGCTCAGTAGTGAGAGTGCTGTGAGCTGTCTGGGTAGCAGCCCCACACTGAGGACAGCTTGGCTGGCACCAGGCTTCAGCCCACAAATGCAGAGAGTGAGGGCTGCCACAGTCAGGTATTGTCTTTGCCATTTTTCTATTACCACATTGCAAAGCTGGCAATAACAGAGACTGACAGCTCCTCACACTGATGCTCATTTCACTCTCAGTGCAAGCTTTCCTTTGTTTTACCTCTTCCAGCAGACTTCCAGCAAGGCTGGATGTCCTTCCCTGTCAGATCAGCAGGTAGTGATGTGACTGGGTTTGGCTTTATTTCTCTGTTCACCCATGAGACAGCGATCTGAAAAGTGCCATCACTTTTAAAATACCAGCACAAGTGGCTTCTAGGCTGTTCCCTGAGCTGCTTCCTGCTGCGACACCAGCCAGGAAAGCTCCGTGTGTGCAGAGCTTCCCTGTCACAGCAGCGTGAGGAACAGAAAAGATGCCTTGGCAGCCTCTGCTCCTGGGCACAACAATGTGTTGCAGAGTAAAGAAGCAACCAAACATTCAGAGTACCCTTGGAGCAGAGAGAGGATGCTGGGCTGTGACTCCTGATGTCAGGAAACTTTCCCTTGGCACTGGACTCAGGATGAGCAGAGATATTGAAGGGGAAAGGAAGGAGCAGTGTCTCAAGGTGGATTTGTCCCATCTCCTCATGTACCACCTGAGATGTGCATTGCTCCACGGGAGTGGTTTCTCTCAGATTAAACCCAGAAGACAGACTTTACATCCAAGACTAGGAGTAAGCATGGGTTCCTCTCTCAGCTGCAGGGGCTAAAAGGAAAGCCCTATTGCCTCCTCACGGCCTCTGTCCCCAAGTCCAAGGAAGGCAGATGAAGAGGAGGGTTTCCAATGAGGAAAGCAGTGTTTGGACAGCCAGACTCTGCCCAGCAGCAGGCTGGCCAGAAGAGAAGCTGGTGATGTTGTTCAGCTCTGAGATGTCAGGGAAATGTCAGGTTCGACAGCAG